ACACACACACACACACACACACACACACACACACACACACACACACACACACGTTATTGTAACTAATTGGTTAATTTATCATTAGTATAATATATTATTACAGTAAATTTAAAATAAATTGTACAATGTATTAATACTCTAAATTGCTTTAAACAGAGAATATATAATAATTATTCTGGTGTGGTATTGCCTGATTAGTTACATGATGGCCAATCACGATGAAACTATCAACATACGACTACGCTGGAGATTGTTTTCACACTTTTTTAGTGGAAAGATTAAAGAATCTATCTGTATAGTAAATAAAGCTGATGTTAAAACTAAGTCGAAATAGATTTTAAATTTTTTGTTGTTGTTGCTGCTGTTCATTAACTATGTACTTTTTTTTTCAGCTGTGCAGAGTGGTATGTGGGATGGAGATGTGAAATTCCTGGACAAGGTAAGATAAGCTACCTATGAAAAATAATATATTATTACAGTAAATTTAAAATAAGTTGTACAATGTATTAATACTCTTAATTGCTTTATACAAACTGTGTAAACTAATATCCACTGGTATATTCTTCCAACAGTAAATGTAGTTTGTTTGCTCTAAATACCCTACGAAAACTTGCCCAAAACAAAAAAAACCATTGCGTAATAATAATAATAGAATCATTCTTCAACCTTGAATATAGTATTCAATAATTAAAGAATTTCTGTGGTGATAACAACTTTGAATATATCTACACGTGTACATGGAAAAGGCGTGGTTGTCGTACTTTCAATAACTGATTTTTTTTTCTTTTATTATGTTAGGCATGTATCTTTAAGTTATTTTATGTATAACCAAGCTACTTGTACTGATTTTATATTTCATTAGCACGTTATGTGCAGATCACGCACTAAACATGAGCATCACTTATTAACCTATATAAATAATACTCGCGTTTGTCTGTCTGGAACCTTTCTCGCAAATTTCTCGATCAAACGCTACAAATCTCATATCGTTAGAAAGGCCTTTTGTCCGAGGAGTCTGGATTGAGTATGCTACACGATGACACAATGTTGTTGTCATCATGTGATGACTGACTTCGATTTCAAATTTAGTTTTTATTTGCAAACTATTTCACACAAACGACACTTAACCTGCGTGTAATTTTCTAAAAAAAAATGAGCATAGCCCATAGGAGTTGTATTTAGTGTATTCTCAAACGCATGCGCAGTTCGTTCAAGACCATATGCTTATCACTTTGAACACTCATTCGGATGTTTCTGCGTAAACAGCTTAGATTGCCTTCATTACGATTTTATATTTACTTTCTTTGGAATAATTTAGCTTCGTTTCCTTTCATAGACTGCTACAAACGCCTTTTAGCTACTTGTTTCTTTACTACGAGTTTTATTCGTCGTTTTTGTGAGTTTCTTTGTGTCAACTCATAAAACCGTGTCATACTCTGAACACAACTGTTTCATACTCTGTAATTATTGTAAATACCATTACTTTATTGTTTACCTTATGTGTAGTTTTATTAAATAAAGTTACGTCTACATGATTTTTTTTTTTTGTCTGACAGCTTTTTTTTTCCAAATAGACCAAGATTCATTCATCTAATATATTATGTAGCCTAAATGACGTGCATAAAATGATAGAATAAGGAACATTCTGGCGAAGTACATGGAAAATATCGCAAATATTTCGCGGATTGTGACAAGTCTTGTAATAAGTCCTCCGAGTTTATTTGTAACAAAGCAGAAAAACGTTGTCGTCTCATGTGTATAGCTACATCTAAAATGTTATTGATGCGAATGGGAACGATTAGCTAGTTCATTGCGTCTCTGTAATATTTGTTTGAACATTGTGTGTGAACGAGTGTTTTTAATATTTGAAACAGATCACTAGTCCGTTAAATTATAAATGTTAAGTCGACTCTTTTCATATTACGAGCTCTTACATTTTGGTAGGCTAACAGTTTTTGAAAAAAACTAAAACATAAAACACGAAGGGATCGAACCGTTTTTTTTATTCGATTCGATATCAGATATCAATTGTGTGCATACTTTTTATTGTTGTGATAAGACTAAAATAAATGTATATTGATTCTGATAGCTAGAGTATCTGTTACAGTTCATGTAACTTGTTTTAATTAAATGTTACAGCATTTAAAATGTACAAACTTTAATAAAATAAAAACACTAAATGGAACTATCATAATACAGCGTGAGGCTGAAGAGGAGGCACAAACGTGTCGAAATTAATTTAAAGTTTTTTTTATCGATAGCTCATTTATTTTGTTTTGTTTTTTACTAGTTTTATGAATTTTTAAACCTATTTTCTATTTTGATAGCTATTATTGGAGGTGTAGCCGCCATAGCAGTCGTACTTCTGGTGGTGCTAATAGTAGTACTTGTTTATGCTGTCCGTAGGTAAGTTTATTTTCAATATTATGGGTTTCAGTTAAAGTAATATAATTTGAAAAATACGTAATTGCGTGTAGTTTTTGTAAGACAGTCTGATATAGTACTTACAAAGATACTTTATTTTCTACTTATACTGGATTTTAAGTTGGTCACAAGGCTTGAAAAGTTTCGTCGTCGATTTAACGTTTAAACCTCAGGTCAACGTTTTGTCGGGCTACTTGCTTCATATGTTTATGCTTGAACGTATTGGTTTGAAACTGTGCATAAACAAAATCTTAATTTTGTCATAATACGTATATCGTCACGTTTTAAATAATAATAATATTACTGGGTAACTCTTACTATTTCATTTTATGTATAATGGAAAACGTATCTAAAAAATTTTTAGTGTGTGTGTCAACCAATATACATATTATATTGTTGCGTCAGCGAGGTCACGAGACTAGTATCACGCCACGTCCTTCTCGAACCTTCGTGAATTGTCGGGAGACTACTAGATTGGGGGTAGTATGGTATATATAAGACGGTCACAACGTGACGGAACAATGTGTGTAATTCAACTGAGTATTGTTG